ATATGTATGTATATGTTAAATATGTAGAATCCAAGATCTCATTTAATGGGGAAAACACTAGAGGCATTGGCACTAAAGTCAGGAAGAAAGCAAGGATGCTCACCCTCTCCACTATTTTTAACGGATTTTTTTGTAATGTGGTTAGATACATACAAAAAAAGGAATATAAATTGGAAAGGAAGAAATAAAATAGTCCCTATTTTAGGTTATATGGTAATATACCTGGAATGCCTGTGAAAATAAACATTAAAATGAATACAAACAGTGAAAGAATTTAGAGGGTAGCATATTAAAATCCAACCATAGAAACAGTACCCTCTTAGAAGAGACAATTAAGAGATGATCCCATATAAAACAGCAACCAAAAATTCAAAATAATTAGCTATAAAATTAAGAAAATCTATGTATGGAAGACTTTCCAACTTCCTGAAAGATATAAAAGTGTACTTGAATAAGAGAAAGGTATTCTTTGCTCTTGGATAAAAGAACTCAATATTTTTTCTTCTATTTCCTGAAATTTGGTATTTAAATGTTTTTTCTAAAGTCAAATGATTATATCAGTAAACAATTAAAATTGTTGATTTATACATTTTTATAAAAGTATACATTTCTCTGTTGACAAATATTTACATGTGTCCCACAATTTTCAATATGAGGCATTTGTGTTTAATTTCATAATGATTTCTTTTTTACCATTAATTATTTAGGAGTATATTTTTTAGTTTCCAAAATATTTTTGTCAGTGACTTCTAATTATTTTGATACTTTGGTGTGTGTGTGTTTTTTTGTGTGTGGGTGTTTTGTTTTTTAAATCCTCACTCAATATTTTTTCCATTGCTTTTTAAAATATATATATTTTTATTGATTTCAGAGAGGAAGGGAGAGGGAAAGGAGAGAGAGATAGAAACATCAATGATGAGAGGGAATCATTGATGGGCTGCCTCCTGCATGCCCCCTACTGGGGATCGAGCCCAGAACCTGGGCATGTGTCCTGACTAGGAATTAAACCATGACCTCCTGGTTCATAGATGAACACTCAGCCAATGAGCCACACCGGGCAGGGTCTATTTCTTTTTAGAGAGTGGAAGGGAGGGAGGAGAAGGAGAGAGAGAAACATCAATGTGTGAGAGACACATCAATTAGTTGTCTCTCGCATTCACCTGGACTGGGGCCAGTGATCAACCTGCAACTCAGGTTGTGCCCTTGACCAAGAATCGAACCCATGACCCTTCAGTGAGTGGGCTGATTCTGTACCCACTTGAGTCACACTGGTCAGGGCTGGTGTTTAATAATTAATTTAACATGCCCTGACTGGTTTGGCTCAGTGGATAGAGCGTCAGCCTGCGGACGAAAGGGTCCCGGTTTCTATTCTGGTCAAGGGCATGTACCTGGGTTGCGGGCACATCCCCAGTAGGGGGCGTGCAGGAGGCAGCTGATTGATGTTTCTCTCTCATCGATGTTTCTAACTCTCTATCCCTCTCCCTTCCTCTCTGTAAAAAATCAATAAAATATATTTAAAAAAATAATAATAATTAATTTAACATATATTTATCAGATAATCTATTTTCCTCAAATAGTGTTCCAGGTTCTGATGATATAGTAGTGAAGAAGTCACCCTACTTCTATTATGGGAGGTATATTTTTAAATTATCTATATAGAGAGAGAGCCAGGGTCCGTAACGTCCACAATGACCAAGGCTCGACTGAACACTGGAAGTCAGTGCTAGGTTGCCATGGCGATGCAGCACTGACTGCTGAGGGGGCTGAGGATCAGGCCCAGAGAGAGGCCTGCAGAGAGAGAGGCAGGGTCTGATCCGCAGCCTCTGTGGCAGCTGTTGATCAGCTGTTGCCTCTCTCTTTCTCTCTGGGCTTTGCCAGCAGCTGCACCTCTGTTTCTCTATGGACCTCCAGGGGAGCTGCTGATCAGCCCCGCCTCTTTGATCAGGCCCAGAGATAGGCCTGGAGACACTGACTGGCATAGAAACTGACCAATCAGAACCAAATCTGGGTGAAGTGTGAGGAGTCAATGGCTGCCTAGGAGGTGGAGCTTTTGACGCTAACTGGCATGGTAACCGACAAATCAGAACCAAATCTGGATGAAGTGTGAGGCCGAAACCAGCTCTCTGACATCTCCTGAGGGGTCCTGGATTGCGAGAGTGCACAGGCTAGACCAAGGGACCCCACTGGTGCATGATTGGGGCTGAGGAGGGACACGGGAGGTTGGCCAGCCAGGGAGGGACCACAGGAGGGCTCTAAGGCATGTCCAGCCCATTTCGCTCAGTCCCGATCAGCCGGACCCCAGCAGCAAGCTAACCTACTGGTCAACTGCCCCCTGGTGGTCAGTGCACATTGAGCGGCCTTAGCATATCATTAGCATATTATGTTTTGATTGGTTGGACGGCCTACAGGTCAACCGGACACTTAGCATATTAGGCTTTTAACACATTGTATGCGGGAAACGTATTTATACGTTTTACGTTGACTGTAAGTAGTAGAGCCACCTGTTAGTTCGTTATAATATCTAGCCACAAACAATGTGTTAATATATAGGATTTTTTCACTTAAGTCAGATTTTTCAAACTCTTTAGATGTACAAATCTCATTTCCATATACTCTGTAGGAATTTTTTTCATATACTACATAGGAATTGGTTTTATTGTCCATCATTTTCTCTGGTATGTAAAAAGAATTTATTTGAAGTTGAAACACATCTTAGTACAATATGCATGACTTTATGTAAATTTTATTTTAGGAAATATTATTTAAATTTACACTTTAAATTTAGCAAGTCATGCCCTTTAGTTTGTAAAGAAGCTCAATTGTTTTGTCAAATCAATTTTAAAATTTATTGTTTATGGTTTAAAAACAAAATAAGAATATGTTATAGCTTAAAAAATAAGCATACATTGCTTTCCTGACCTGATATATGAAATTTTGTTTATTTCCTGTTAAAACTACAAGCTGGTTTGTTATTTTTTGTGTAAGTGATTAAGTCTCAGGATGCTATGTTGGAGTAGCTTATAACCAGCACTATATTTTCCATTTTACCACTAGGTTTTTTGTGTTTTTTTTTTAATATTGAAATATCATACTGTATAACAATTCTCATTGGTAGATTTCTAGAAAGTCATCCTAAGGCAAATCCATGGGCAATATTATTATTTCAATACTGGCCTATTTTTATCCTTCTGTTTTTTCAACCAAGGATAGATTAAATTTAATGAAACATAAGCACTCAGAATCATAGCAAAAATCAGCATGGCTAGCACTAGTTGAAACTTGAATATGATCTTATAAGTATCTGTTCTGAGATTCTTTTAGTTTAAAACTAGAGGCCCAGTGCACAAAAATTTGTGCACTCTGGGAGGGGGCTCCCTCAGCCCGGCCTGTGCCCTCTCGCAGTCTGGGACCCCTTGGGGGGTGTCCACCTGCTGGCTTAAGCCCGCTCTCTGGGGAGATCAGGCCTAAGCTGGCAGTCAGACATCCCTCTGACAGCCCGGGAGCCCTCGGGGGATGTCACTTGCCAGCAGGGAGCAGGCCTAAGATGCAGTCAGACATCCTTAGCACTGGTGAGGAGGCGGGAGAGGCTCCCACCACCACCGCTGTGCTGGCAGCCGGCAGCCTGGCTTGTGGTTGAGCAGAGCTCCCCCTGTGGGAGCACACTGACCACCAGGGGGTAGCTCCTGCATTGAATGTCTGCCCCCTGGTGGTCAGTGTGTGTCATAGTGACCAGTCATTCTCAGTTGTTCTGCTGTTAGGGTCAATTTGCATATTACCCTTTTATTATATAGGATAGAGGCCTGGTGCACGGGTGGGGGCTGGCTGGTTTGCCCTGAAGGGTGTCCCGGATCAGGGTGGGGGTCCCACTGGGGCGCCTGGCCAGCCTGGGTGAGAGGCTGAGGGCTGTTTTCAGGCTGGCCACACCCCCTTCAGGGTGGGTGTCCCCACTGGGGTGCCTGGTCAGCCTGGGTGAGGGGCTGAGGGCCGTTTTCAGGCTACCCACACCCCCTTCAGGTTGGGGATCCCCACTGGGGTGCCTGGCCAGACTGGGATGCCTGGCCAGCCTGGGTGAGGGGCTGAGGGTCGTTTTCAGGCTGGCCACGTGCCCCCACGACCCAAGCTCCCAGCCTCTCCTTTTTTTCTTTTTTTTCCCTGAGATTTATTTATCTTCTATAATTGAAACTTTGTAGCCTTGAGCGGAGCCGAGGGCCGGCCAGGCAGGTGGGAAGCTTGGCTTCCTCCATCGCCAGGGGCAACCCAAGCCTCCTGCTTGCTCCAGCTCTGTGGCCGCCGCCATCTTAGTCGGGTTAATTTGCATACTCGCTCCTGGTTGGCTGGTGGGCGTGGCTGGTGGGCATGGGTTGAGAGTAGTGGAGGGATGGTTAATTTGCATGTTTCTCTTTTATTATATAGGATGAAGAACATGTATTTTAATTGTCTTATTTATTGGTTTATAAACAACTATTAACCACTTTTAATGATCTGAATCTCTAGAATTTCTTTGTGAACCCCTAAGTGTTCATAAATTTGAGTTTAAAATGCTGTTATAAATCAAAGAAAAAAGAACTTGATATAGAGAAACTAGATGCCAAATTTGTGGCCACATTTTCAAGTGTATAGGATCGAATGGCATTATACATAATTTATTAAACTTACTTCATTTCATCCTTTATTTCATCTTTATTTTTTCTATCCCTTTTTTTCTTTTGCTTCAATTTCCTTATCTATTTTTTTTTGTTGTGTCATGTATTTTTACATATTTTCTCAATTTCTCTTTGGAATGAGGCAGATTTAATTGGTAAATGTTTATATTGAAATAGCATATTTGCCAGTTTTTTAAAACATAGGAAGTCTATATTCAGGATCTAGAAAAATTGGTATTCTAAATAAAGTTGTATTATATAGTATGATTTAATTTTAATGTGTTAACATTAAATTTTATTTGGAACAAGTTAAAATTAATGTTAGCATTACAAAATGATTGTTCTAATGTTTCCCAGCTGCTAATAGGTTATGAAAATGGTACTGTGGTATTCTGGGACTTGAAATCTAAAAGAGCAGAACTGAGACTTTATTATGATGAGGTAAGTGATGTCTTCTGAAATATTTGAAACAGTGTTATGACTTTGTGTCTGTTTTTTGCTTTTAAGCTTTGTATGTTACCAGTATTCTTATCATTGGGACACTGACTGATTCTGATTCAGTGCCTCATACTTCCTGTTGGCATTTGCACAAGTTCCAATTCTGGGTTGTTTTTCTGAGTGGGAATTCTGCCTTGACTGCCCATTTTTTGGGCCCTTTATGGCATCTTACATACTTTGGTGCCTATTACCTATACTGTATAGCCACCTTCGTCTAAAGTTTTTTCCTTTCTTTAGGCTGTGTGCTTTTGTCTTAACTCATTATCCTTAAGGTCTCTAAAGACACTATTCACACAGAAAATTATTTTTATGTATCATCAAATTTAAGTTGTTGAATGGTCTTATCTTCTAGTACTGCTGCCTTAGAATAGAGATTTTGTACATAGTAATGCCTAATAATAAGAGTCAGTAAGATCTTGAAGTTTTATTGTACATAGTTGGGGCTGATTAGGGTTTCATTTAGAGAAAGCAATTAACTCCTATTTATAAAAGAATAGTCTCTGACCTGATACTTCATATGTTCAGAGATTGATTCTAGGCCATTAATTATTTCCATCATCAGGAAAGGCTAATGTGAAGACAGTGAAGCTGGAGGCAAAGATGAGAAGAAAGGGGAATTGCCTCTTATAGCTGTGAAAATAAAGGTTAACATCTGTGCTTTCAATTAAAATTTTAAAATGGTAGACTAGGGAGAGATAGGAGGAATATACAGGTCAACAATTGCTGTCTGGTATCACCCATGCTTATAGGGAAAGAGTTCAGAAGAATGTAAGATAACACTGATATAAATATAAAAATAAATTTTAAAAATATTTCTTTTATAACCCTTCCTTTCTGTGCTCCCTCCAATCCCCTCTTAACAGTTTTTAAGTTTTGATACTTAAAGATAGCCAAAGATTTACAGGTAATGTGGGCATGCGTGGTGAAAAATACTACGGCAAGTGATGTTATACAAATATACTCTTTATGATAAAATTTCGGGGCATCTTAAATCATAACGAAAGAAGGATTTTCCTTTTGTTAAATACACAGAATGTAAAGATAAGGATGGAGATTGTTACCTTTCTCAAGACTAAGCAGCTAGATAAGAGTCTAAATACCATCTGAGAATTTAGCCAGTTGGAACTAGCATAGAGCAGCTAAAAAGGAAATCCAGAGGAAAATGCTGAATCGATAGTTTTCTTATGGTCTTAAACAGTGTAGAAGGAATGTTTCTAACCTTAAAAAGCAAGCAAAAGTATTTACAATGAAATGTTTAAATAGGACTAACTATGTTTAAGTCAGTGGACTACTGCACTCTAAGCACTTTCTACCTAGAAATCATTTTAAATATTGATTTTATGATATATGTATCATTTCCTTTGGTTTCCTACCTTTTCAGTGGCTTTTACTAACAAGATTATCATTTTAAGACATATAGTGGAACCTCATTTCTGTTTTCTACATTTTAAAATTCTTTTTGAATTAGTTGTATTTTAGTAGAGCGTTAAAGTCCTTTTTAAGAAAAGGGTAGGGTATAAACAAATAATTAGAAATTGAATATTTATTCATTAAGTCAGGTCAAATGCCACCTCTTCAATAATGCACTTTTTGACATTCTCCTTTCTAATAACAAGTTGTTTTTACATGTCTGCTCTTCTGTACAATACATATACTTCTTTTATAGTACTTACTTGTTTTGGTTTTGTGTTGTAGCTATTATTTTGATATGTCTTCTTTAGGAGGTAGAAATTGACTGGGATAGGAAGAAGGGATGGGCCTGAGGACTTTCTCTGCCCCCACCATATGTAGAAAAGCAGTCTGAGAGAACTTAACTGAGGATCATCCAAGTTAACACGTAGAGGTGGCAAGAAGTGACATTTCCCTTCTCTGCCTAGTAATGAAGAGCAGGGTGAGAAAAAAACATAAGTCCACAGTTTCATATTATCTTTTCCACTTAATCAAATCTTATCTTTTAAAGTATAGCTTATATCCTGTTTACTTTATGATATGTCTAATGATTACTCTAGCATCAGTTATCTGTAACTCTAATAATACTTATTGTTTGGAAGTTCATTTACGTCAGTCTTTCCTAGCTCATTATTCTCTAAGTCCCCTTAAGGCAGTGGTTCTCAACCTTCCTAATGCCTCGACCCTTTAATACAGTTCCTCATGTTGTGGTGACCCCCAATTTCATTGTTACAAATTGAACATAATTAAAGCATAGTGATTAATCACAAAAACAATATGTAATTATATATGTGTTTTCCAATGGTCTTAGGCGACCCCTGTGAAAGGGTCGTTTGACCCCCAAAGGGTTCGCGATCCACAGGTTGAGAACCGCTGCCTTAAGGAAAGGATCCTATTGCATATATCTGTTCAGCTTTTATGTCTACTAGAGCACCTACTTTATGCTACCACTGGGAATAAATTTGGGAAAATGGAGTAGTACTTTTTAGTTTTCTTTCACAACTACAGAGTGAATCTGTAAATATAAAAAATTAATTCTTCTTGCTTCAAATCAATTTAAATTTTTTATGTTGGAGGAAATATGGTACTACAATGATTGAATATGGGTTTTTTAGTTAGATAGACCTGAACTTTGAGTTGTGTGACCTGAGCAAGTACCTCAATCTCTCTAGGCCTATTTTCCCATGTGTAAATTGGAAAAAATAATACCTGTTTTATAGGATTAAATGAAATAATGTACATAAAGTACTTCCCATTGGTCTGGCTCATCATTAGGTATGGTGGCTCTTATGTATATTGTTTTTTAAATTAGCTACTTTAAGTGGAACTAGCCCACTGCCTTACCAGAAATCATCTTCAGATAACCTTTCTTGTACTTCTATGTAAACAATTTTTCAAAGAAACATTATAGGATACAGGGAGGATGCAGAATTTATAACAAGTTATGGGATCTAATGATGTTAGAAAATTTACTTAACTTGTATTTATCTCAGGAGATGAGTTTTTGTACCCTTTTATAAGCCCACAAAGGGATGAATCAAAGATAGTATAATGTGGGTCAGAAAAATTATGTATGTTTCTTAAGTGTTATTGCTATAATAATTTTATGTCAATAATTTTTCTTTGAAATATAGAATGATATAACATCAACTTTCACTCTACTTGTTTTTAATTGTTATTCCATTAGGCTATTCATTCAATTGATTGGCATCATGAGGGCAGACAGTTCATGTGCAGCCATTCAGATGGTAGCTTGACTTTATGGAACCTGAAAAACCCAAGCCGTCCTTTCCAGATCACAATTCCACATGGTAAGAAGCATGCTTTCAAAAGGAATCAACTATAGAATTATAGTGCTTTGATTTAAAGAGGTGGTATTAATGTGTTTGGTAGAAAGAAGCAATAGGACATAGCTTCTGATTCTAAATACCTATTTTATACCTCATTCAGACCCCCCACATTATGCCCCAAACTTCCTGTCTATCCATTTTCCTACTTAGTAAGTGATATTTATATAGACCTTTCCAACCAAAAATTGGATAATGGATGGTTGATATATCTGAAACAGAGGAGATAATAAAGGATATTTGGCCAGTTTTTAAGTGTTAAGGAGAATGGCATTACCTAGATCTGACTTTCAGACCTAATTCCTATACTGCCTTGTTACCTGTTGTTTTCTAGTTACTGCATTTATTTCCATTTCTGCCATTTGGTTCCACGAAATTATGAGGACTGTGGTATTATTATAGGTTGTATTTATTTTTATTTTTTTAAAATATATTTTATTGATTTTTTTACAGAGAGGAAGGGAGAGGGATAGGGAGTTAGAAACATCGATGAGAGAGAAACATCGATCAGCTGCCTCCTGCACATCCCCCACTGGGGATGTGCCCACAACCAAGGTACATGCCCTTGACTGGAATTGAACCCGGGACCCTTGAGTCCGCAGGCCAACGCTCTATCCACTGAGCCAAACCTGTCAGGGCAGGTTGTATTTATTTTATCTTCCTCATTGAAAAGAGTAGCATTTATGTTGGGCATGTCCACCTATCTTTGATTCAGATGACCATATTATTTTCAAGAATATTGGTAATCAGAATTCTATGTTTATCTCAAAGTGTTGGTTGTTTCTTAAAGAGGTCAAAACCTACCATTTAATCAAACACATTCTATTTTATAGTTTCTGAGCATTTATAAAGTGTAACATTTAGAAAACAGTGTTTTTTTAAAATAATGGGTGACTTATAAATCACAAGATGGAATTATTTCATCTTGTGTTAGTCTGCCATGTTTTGTACCACAGCTGCATGTTCCATCTGCAGATGATTAATACATTTAATCTGAAGTGCTTTACTTAGAGATTACTTTAAATTTAGACACTTACATGAGATGCTTTATTTAAAGATTGCTGTGCCGGGCTGGTTTGGCTCAGTGGATAGAGGGTCAGCCTGTGGACTAAAGGGTCACAGGTTCAATTTTGGTCAAGGGCACATGCCCGGGCTGCGGGCTCGATCCCCATAGGAGGTGTGCAGGATGCAGCCGATCAATGATTCTCTCTCATGATTGATGTGTCTATCTCTTTTTCCCCTCTCATTTCCTCTTTGAAATCAATAAAAATTAAAAATAAAAATAATTGCTGTTATGGAAACTTTGGATACGTATTTGCTGTACATCTTCTCAGGTTTAATTATTTGTTTCTGTGGTGGGTTCTCCTTCCCATCAACTCTCCCCCCCCCCAACCCCAATTTTAACTTTTATTTGCAAATGTGTAATATGGCTTATTCATACATTTTCTATTTACTTATATTCTCACTAGTCAACTTTGATACAAGTTCTTTTTGGCTTGCCTGGGTAACTGATACTTTCATATATTTTACCATATCTATATTTATTTTATCAGTTTGGTTTTTTTCTATAATTCTGTTTTTGAAAAAAATGAAGTCTGTTCAAAGTTGTTGAAAACATCAGCATCTGCATCTCTCATAACATATACATCAAATTAAATTCCTGCTGCCTCACTATGACATAGTGAAGCCAGTGTCAGTGATTTCAACAATAGAGGCCTCCATTGTCATATCTATCTATATTCTTTGGATTCAGTTTGGTTTTTTCTGGTTCAGCTATTTTTATTTTCTAAAATAAAAAATTTTCTCTTAAGTACTACTTCAGCTGTATCCTACAAATTTTATATGTAATTTCATTAATAATATGTAATTTTTGTTAATATTCAGTTTGAAGTATTTTCTAATTTCTATTATAATTCTCCTTTTTACCTATGAGTTAGACACATGATTTGCCTATGGTACCTCCTTTGTCATTTTTATATTTGTTTTGTTTAATTTAGTACATTTTAAGCTTCTAGATGGTCAGTTATTTCTTTGTACCCTGACAAATAGTACAGTACTCTGAGCATAAGGAGTATCAATAAACGCAATTTTTTATTACAATGTTTTATACAATATGACATTTAAGCTACTTCAATTACTGACAGGCAACAAATATTATTAAAGCAGAAATCCTTCACCCCAAAAATAATTTTGGAGTTGGAAATTGAAGTAAAACATTAATTAATTGGATATCTTTTCTATTAAAATTGGTGTATAATACTGATGTGTATTGGTTGAAAACTAGTAATTGCTTCCAGATGTATAAAAAACTGTAAATATACTGTTGTGGTTAATTAACAGCTTGGTGATTATTAGAGAAGCCCTGGCTAAAAAAGACATCACTGTGTAAAGGATGGGTCTCTTTCCTGTCTCTTGCTTCCTTCAGTTCTCTTATCCCACTCATTACCCAAACCAGTAACCCCAACCAGATGTTCCTCAATCCCAAGACCACTGTTCAGTGTGAGTCTTGAGCCAGAGTTGTCTCTTTGTAAGGCATCACAATTTACTTATTATGTCAGCAATTACTTTTTATCTATAATAGATACTTTTACGTCTTTTTTTTAATGAGAATGATTATGACCAATATTTTATTATTAGTTGCCTCCTTATTGACATAGGGTAAAAGAAAAAGCAATTTTAGAAAAAATGCCATAGAGCAGATATGGCGTGTTTTATGCTAATACCCTACCCTTTAAACATATTAAATATAACTATCTTGACATCCTATTTGGATTTGGCTGTGCCATTCTAAAGCTATCCTGAAAACTTGAACATATATGCATGTAAACACCTACTTATAATAGGTGTCTATAAACAACTGTGTCTATAAACAGCTGTGGCAATACAAGAACAAATAAGGGTACTTAAAATAAAAAATGTATAAATCATCTAAAAATGTCAATTTTATTAAAATGAGACAGAATATAAACAAAAACATAAATTGAAAGATAAGTAGTTAAATGCAGAAGTAGCCCTACCTGGTTTGGCTCAGTGGATAGAGCGTCGGCCTGTGGACTGAAGGGTCCTGAGTTCAATTCTGGTTAAGGGCACATGCCTGGGTTGTGGGCTCGATCCCCAGTAGGGGGCATGCAGGAGGTAGACAATCAATGATTCTCTGTCATCATTATTGTTTCTAGCTCTCTCTCTCTCTCTCTCTCTCTCTCCCCTTTCCCTCTCTGAAATCAATAAAAATATATTTTAAAAAATAAATGCAGAAGTAGCTTTGTTTCCATTTCATACTTTCTGATTCTTTATTCAAAATCTTATAAAATCTAAACAACATCATCTTTCCTTTACAAGAAACCACTATTTTTGTTGTATGAAAATAGAATACATCATTAAATTTACTTTTTAAAATCATGAAACATACTATCTGTGTTTATCATCTAATGAACTTTCCTTTAAATGAATTTAATGAAAATGCAATGATATTGATATTCTGTAAGCTTTGAATAGCATGTTTTTCTGCAAATGAATGGGGTTTAGTTGTGTTATAGATAAAATGTTGAGTATGGATCTTCATAATAACACATTTCATTTTGTGCATAAATATGTATGTGTGCTTTCAATTTAAAGATTGTTTATTTTATCTTGAAACTTAAATAATTAGCTCTGGCTGGTGTGGCTCAGTTGGTTGGAGCATTGTCTGATACACCAAAAGGTCACAGGTTCAATTCCCAGTTAGGGCACATACCTGGGTTGCAGATTTGATCTCAGGTCAGGGCATGTGTAGTAGGTGACCAATCAGTGTTTCACTTTCTTTTTTTTTTTTAATATATTTTATTGATTTTTTACAGAGAGGAAGGGAGAAGAGGGATAGAGAGTTAGAAACATCGATGAGAGAGAAGCATCGATCAGCTGCCTCCTGCACACCCCCTACTGGAGATGTGCCTGCAACCAAGGTACATGCCCTTGACCAGAGTCGAACCCGGGACCCTTCAGTCCGCAAGCCGACGCTCTATCCAGTGAGCCAAACCGGTCAGGGCCAGTGTTTCACTTTCACATCAATGTTTCCTCTCTCTCTCTCTCTTTCTACCTTCCTTTCTCTCTAAAATCAATAAAAGTATATCCTCGATTGAGGATTTAAAAAAAAAGGAACTTAAATAATTAAAGTAATCTTACATAAGACTATACTTATACATGTAGAATGTAAAACAATATAAATTTGATAAGTTTACATATAACTTTATTGACTATATAGCAGTCAAGTATTAGGATTCAATAAATTGTTTACAAATTCAACAAAAATGTTAGGCTACATAGACATGTGTTTATCCTATTAGGAAAAATACATATTACATTATTATTTTCTTTATATTTCCTTAGTCAAACTTTTTAATTCTCATGGACTAGTATAATTTAAATCAGATTTAATAAAATTCTTTTTCTTTCTTTAGGAAAAAGTCAAAGAGAAGGAAGAAAATCTGAATCTTGTAAACCAATACTTAAAGTAGAATACAAGACCTGTAGAAACAGGTATGCACTTTTACTTTGGGAATTATTGGAAAATATGCAATGAACAGAGACAAAAAAGGCAGATAACTTTTAATGTTGATGTAGTGCTTAAAGTTTTACATAATTATATTACCTGGCTGAATCCTTTACATTAACAATAACAGATTTCTTACTGTTTAATAAGCATATATGTGATGATCATTATTATGAATACTAGTGATCTGGTGCATGGATTCGTGCACATTGAAAGGAAATTAATTAGAAGGTGGCCAGCGAGGTGGGACTGGGCGAGACGGGCCAGAAATGCCCTGGAGCCAACCTCCTGTGGTCCCTTCCCAGCGGCCCCACCTTGGGTGGTGCTGTGGCTCAAAAGGGGTCTGTGGAGTGAGCGGGGTTCCTCAGGCAGGTGGGGTCCCTCAGCCTGTCCTGTGAGGATCAAGCTGAAACAGCCTCTCCAACATCCCCCAAGGGGTCCTGAAGTGTGAGAGGGCACTCTTCAAAGTTGCTGTCGTACAGGGTGTGGAATGCAAATGCAAGTGTGCAGTAAACCAGATTCGGGGCCAACAGTGACCCAGCAACAACATAACGCATGACCGCAGGTGGAATTGAGTGGCCCACGAGGAATCAGGCTCCCTCCTCTCTGGTTTCGGGTGCGTCACCTGAGAACCATGGCTGCCAAGTCACTGCAGCTCAGCAGCTCCTGCATTGAGTGTCTGTTCCCTAGTGGTCAATGCACATCATAGTGACCAGTTGGATGGAGGGAGGGACACTTAGCATATTAGCCTTTTATATATAGATTACAAATAACAACTTGCTTAAAATTTTTATGAATAGTCAGTTGAGTATTATATACATTAATTTTAACAATGTAGGGCTTTTGGCTATGTACATTACAAGTAGCAGTCATTTAGCATTATTAAGAAGAGCTATTTACCTATTGGTATTGCACATGAAATAATTAAATACATAACCAAGCCTCTGTACTTTAGGTTTTTATACTTTGAAATTGGAAAGATTATCGTTTGTTTAAAAGATAAACAGTAATGTACATTGGCATAATAAAATAGTATTAAATTTTAATATATAGAAAATTAAAGAATACTTAAAATTCTATCGTGTGTATATATAGCAGCCATATCCTATACCTCAACAATGTCCTTTTTACTTGCAATAAATTTTAGTGGCAATATATTCATCCAGAATTACCATAATTCCAAATCTTGCTTAAACTTTAATTTTATTTTTACTCTAAATTGGATAATCCTATCTTGTATTACTTATATGCTCACACTAGAATGTTTTCTTGGCATCATAGGTACTTTTAATGTTTGTTTATACCTACTATTATAAAGACTTAATAGTATAAAATTGTGGTAATTTTAACCAGTTAGCTTATGTATATATAGTTTATTTATATATATATAAAGCTTCTATAAAACATCCTATATAATAAAAGGGTAATATGCAAATAGACTGAATGGCAGAATGACCAGTCACTATGACACACACTGACCACCAGGGGGCAGACGCTCAGTGCAGGAAGTGCCCCCTGATGGTCAGTGCACTCCCATAGGGGGAGCACCGCTCAGCCAGAAGCCGGGCTGACGGCTCATGGGGAGTGGGCCTAAGCTGTCAGTCGGACATCCCTCGAGGACTCCTGGACTGCAAAAGGGAGCAGGCCAGACTGAGGGACCACCCCCCACCCCCGAATGCACGAATGTCATGCACTGGGCCTCTAGTTTGTGTATATTTGTGCAATTTGTTTGGTGTACTAAAATGAAAGAGAATACTGGCTGATTTTGAACCTGTTATGGTCTAGTAGCAGAAGTAAGGCCATAAACTTGTGCTTTCCCTATAACATGTGAGGTACTTTTAGAGGAATATGCTATGAGAGCATAGCAAAAGATTACCTAAACCTGCCAAGAGGGAGTGGGGAGAATAGTGAAGAGAGAAATCAGTGAATTTCTTCTTGGCTTTCCTTTTGAAATGCCTAAGATGGTACTAAAAAGGCATGATTTGATGACAGGCAAAGGGAGGAAAAGGGTGAAGATGGAGATCAAGAATTCAAATCAAGGTAGTGTAAAGTAATGATTAAGATCATTGGCTTATAGAGTAAGATATCTATATGACCTTGAAAATTATAATTAACTTTGATTTACTCACTTGTGATGTTTATGAAAATTAATGAAATTATGCTTGAAGTTTGTAATGTCATAAGTTTTATGAATGGCACATAGTGGATTTCTTAAAAACAAATTATTACTGTCATCATTATAGACATCCCATTTTTAAACTACTCAACTGCTCCTAAATTAATGATTTGTTCTAGTAATGGTGATCCAACTTTGTGTAAAAGCAATTCTTCAGATTTCTAATGTAAAATAATTACATATGTATTATTAATTATCCTATGTACTGTATAGTTAAGTACATTGTTACTATATTAGAAAAGGAGACTAAAAAGCAGAAGAGCACTGATATTAAGAGTACTGAGATGTGCCCTAACCAGTTTGGCTCAGTGGATAGAGCGTTGGCCTGCAGACTGAAGGGTTCCAGGTTCGATTCCAGTCAAGGGCATTTACCTTAGTTGCGGGCACATCCCTGGTGGGGGGTGTGCAGGAGGCAGCTGATCGATGTTTCTCTCTCATCGATGTTTCTAACTCTCTATCCCTCTCCATTCCTCTCTGTAAAAAAATCAATAAAATATATTGCTTTTAAAAAAAGAGTACTGAGATGTATTGAAATAGAAAAATGGGCGAAAGTGTGGACATTGGACATGGAAATAAATAGCTATGTTTTCACTCCCATCCTATATAATAAAAGGCTAATATACAAATTGACCGAATGGCAGAATGACTGGTCGCTATGATGCGCACTGACCACCAGGGGAGACGCTCAATGCAGAAGCTGCCCCCTTATGGTCAGTGTGCTCCCACAGGGGGAGAGCCTCTCAGCCAGAAGCTGGGCTCATGGCTGGCAGGCTCATGGCTGGAAAGCGCAGTGGTGGTGGCGGGAGCCTCTCCCACCTTCATGGTAGTGCTAAGGATGTCTGTGGGGAGCGGGCCTAAACCGTCAGTCGGACATCCTTCGAGGGCTCCCGGATTGCGAGAGGGTGCAGGCAGGGCTGGGGGACCCCCCCCCCCCCAGTGCACAAATTTGTGCACCAGGCCTCTAGTTCAGGTATAAAGTAGAAACTTTGTGAAATAAAAAATTGGGATGGCTGTGACAAGAGCAGAAACTTTAAGAAGAGCTCTACTACTTATGCTGCAGCAATAGGGCCTTTTAAAGGACTGAATAGGCAGCAGATGTAAGGAGTACATTTTCTGCTTACTTGAATCTGAGACCAGCCATTCACAGACTTGCTTTACATTTCTAGGGATGAACAATCATTCTGTTCAGAAATTGTTGGTCCCCAATCACCAAGTTCCCTACTGGCACTCCAGCCATGATGGCCTCTAGGCATAATAATTTTATACCCTTCAAAAATAGGAATATTGATCTCTGTACTGCTACTATTATCAAGTTCTCTGTGGTTAAATAAAAATTACTTTCTGCTACTGTTTTAATCCCTTCCTTTTATGGCCACCTATTGATAGACTTCATGTGTAGTTAAGTTCTCCAGGCCTCAGTATACCCATCTGTTAAGTAGGAATAATAATAGTAGTTTTCTCGTTGGGGTATTATAAGGATTAAATTAAAAAATACATGTCAAGTTCTTCATGCAATACTTGGAACATCATAAATACTTAATGAATGTTAAAATTGAATGAGTATTATATCATGTTACTTATTGTTAATCTTGTTGCCTTCATTGAAGCAACATGTTAATGCTTTTTTCTTTATTATAGTTCATCTGCTTTACAAATTATACAGTTAAATAGACTTTTTTTCTTTTGGTGTAGGTCTATGGATTTTAACACATGTATAAATTCTCAAAATCACCATCACAATAAGAATACATAGCATTTCCCACTCCCAAAACTCTCATGCTGTCCCTATATAGTCACATCCTTTCCCCAACTCCTAACTTCTGGCAACCACTGATCTGTTCTCCATCTCTGTGGTTTTAGCTTTTCGAGATGTCATATAAATGCAATTATATATTATGTAACCTTTTGCGTCCAGCTTTTTTTTTAATTGATCTTAGAAAGAGAGGAAGGTAGAGAGAAACATTGATGTGAGAGTGAAACATCGATTGGTTGCTTTCCATATGTGTCATGACCAGGGATTGAACCCAAAACCTGGATATATGCCCTGATCAGAATCAACCCCAAGACCTTTCAGTGTATGGGATGATGCTCCAACCAACTGAGCCATACTTGCCAGGGGAGCCTACCTGCTTTCACCAACATAATGCCTTTGAAATTTATCCAAGTTGTGTGCATTGATAATTTTTAGTTTTATTAATGTTTTTCTTATGTATAAAAACACTGTAAATTATATGGATTTTAATTTCCTGTATAATAACCCAGGATGCATTTGTATTAGTAATGAAGAAGATATTTACTAGTACGGTACAGCATTTACCAAATTGTGTTCCTTTTAATCACTGATTGTATTCATGGAAGAAAGGAATCTATAATCAAATAAATTAGAGAAATCTGAGAAATTCTGGGTTATATAAAAGTAAATTGGATTCTTTACTCTATGATTTCTCAGATCTTTAACATATGTCATGAATTATAAAATTTCAAAGGGCAGATATGGTTTGCAAGTGTCAAGTTATTAAGAACATTTTTATTTTTTGCCAAACACCTATTAAGTTGTATTCTACAGTTTGAGAAACATTAGACTAGAAATGAAAAACATGGACTTTGGAGTCTGGATTTGAATCTTTGTACTTCCACGCACTAGCTGCTTTAAGCTAACAAGTTATTTAATCTGCATTAATCCCAGACTCCTCATCTACAAAATGGGGCTGATAATACTTTCCTCATCAGGACTGAGAATTATAAGGTTTTGAGGATTACATAAATTTTACTTTATATGTACACGCAGCACAGTATATGCCAACATTTTACCAACTAAAGGCCCAGTACATGAAATTAGTGCATGGGTAGGGTCCCTAGACCTGGCTGGTGATCAGGGCCGATTTGTGGGGTCACCGGTGGGGCAGTCAGGGGTCCCTGCTGGCACCTGCCTTGGCCAGCCTGGCACCACCTGCTCGCCGGCCCCGCTCCCCCACTCCCCTGCTGGTCGCCTCCCTCTGCAGGGTGACTGGCGGGGCGATCTGGGGGGGGCACGCTGGCACCTGCCTTGCCTGGCCTGGGGCCTGCGGGCTGGGGGCAGCTCCTGCATTGAGTGGCTGCCCCCTGGTGGTCAGTGCATGTCATAGTGACCGGTTGTTCTGCCGTTTGGTCTATTCACATATTAGGCTTTTATTATATAGGACTAGAGGTCCAGTACATGAAATTCATGCACAGGGGGTGTCCCCTTAGCCCAGCCTGCACCCTCTCCAATCCGGGACCCCTCGGGGGATGTCCAACTGCTGGTTCAGGCCCGGCAGACATCCCTCTCACAATCCTGGACTGTTGGCTCCTAATCGCTCACCTGCCTGCCTGCCTACCTGGTCGCCCCTAACTGCCCCTACCCCTGCCGGCCTGATTGCCCCTCACTGCCTCTGCATGCTGGCCTGATCACCCCTAACTGCACCCCCTGCTGGCCTGGTCGCCCCTAACCCCACTGCCAGCCAGGTTGCCCCCAACTGCCCTCTCCCCCCGCTGCCAGCCAGGTTGCCCCCAACTGCCCTCTCCCTGCTGGCCTGGTCACCCCACGCAGCCTGCTTGTTCAGTCGTTTGGTCGTCCCGCAGTAATGCCCCTGCAGGCCTGGTTGTAGGCAGCCATCTTGTGAGGGCGTGATGGTCAATTTGCATATTACCTCTTTATTATATAGGATGTGCATGGTAATCATTCAGTAAATTGTAGCTATTTATTACTACAGGCACTACAGACCACTGTTTAGGAGAACAGGTTTAGAAGTCTGACAGACCTCAGTTTTCTTTTGGGTTTTTCTGCTTAGTTATTTAACCTCATTAATAAAATGAGGGTAATACTTATGAGGATTTACTACAATAATTAAATTTCTAATGCAATTATCTATGAGTGGTTCCCTGAGCATTTTCCTGAGTAAATAACTTTTTATTCAATCATTCAGTAGTTTACAAAGAAGTACATGTATAATTAAGTTTATACCCAATATTTTCTGATGCCGAGTCATAATGACAGCAAAAATGATTTGCTCTCTTTCAATATTAAAAAGGACAGGGGAGGTGGTTGAGGTTGAGGAGGGTATAGGGAGCAAAAATGGTGATGGAAAAATAAATAAATACAATTTTTTTTTAGAAGAAAGGACATATTTTGCAATGTGCTTACAAAAAAGAGGGAGAGTAAATTGCTTCTGATCTATGTTTAGATTAGTACTAGGAGATGAGAGTAAATTCACTTTTACATGGAAATAAGTAGATAGTTATGGCCTTTATTAATATTTGGAACAGATATTAAAGTCAATATGTATGAAAAGGTACTATGTTCTCCAAGTCATGATCCCTGATGTGAAATAAAGCAACCAACAAACACAGATACAGAAACCCATAGTCATTTCATTAGAAATGATTTTTAAATCTGGAGAAATCTTCTTAATAATATATGTGTAATTTATAGAAAGAACAAAAATGTTTCTTAATAGCACTATTATTAGGTGAGTAATTCACTATGTCAAATTACTGGGGAAAGACTAACTCAAGTCAATTGATGCAGGATTCAAGGAAAATAAATTAGAGCATTATTGCTTGTATAGCTTACAACTCAAATAATTTTGTCAAAATATTGACAGAATTATAAATAAAAATTAGTATAGGTATTTTATATATAGGTTTTGATGGCAACTTTTTAAAGGTTTTTTGTTGTTGTTGTTATTGTATGTAGCCAGCATAAAATTAGCAAATGTCCTATTGGTAATGTTTGATACTATGTACAGTACAAAACAGAAGAGAAAGGGAAGTTTTATAAAGTGATTTCTAGAAATAAGTAGATCTTTCAGTTTATCGGATGGATGGAAGTGAATTATTTAGAGAAGCATGTATTCTCAAAGAATTTGGTACACTAAAAGTATTTAGCTATTTTTAAAAAAAAACTTAAGAGTATTTTCTGTTTGATATTTACTTATTGAAAATACTTTCTATCATCACTTACTTTCTTTTATATACATACTAGTGGCCCGGTGCACGAAATTCGTGCACGGGGGGGGGGGCGCTCCTCAGCCCG